GTTTAGGGTTTAGGGTTTGGGCTTGCGGCTTTGGGTTTAAGACTGCTATATCTCTTTGGAGCCCTATAGTCCACAATATGGATTGCGAAGTGGGGTCCTATGCATAAACCCTAAACACCCGGGGCTTACACTTCGAGCCCTAAGCCCTCAACCCAATCTCCATTTTTAAATCAGCAGAACTTCCAGAACCACACCTTGGGGGTTTGAATAATATGAACACGGTGCCTTTAAGGGTTCCTTCCTAAGGGGTCTGCAAGGCAAGCTACTGTGAGAGCTCTTTTAATATAGGGGCCTCAGCAAGTGAAATGGGTATCCTTTAGTATATGTTGTATACGCGTGAGTACAAAAAAGAACCCTTAGGACACATTTTAGATAGTTGAGGTTTGCATATTAACACCCCAACTACAGCCCGAACCCATCACGACCCTAAACCCAAAACCTCAAACTTGTCGGGTGTAGGTTTCAGGGTTTAGAGTTTGGGAGTCTTGCCTCCCGCAGACCAGAATCTGGACGCCAAGCACGGCGACTTTAGTGTTTATGGCTTTAGGGGTTTAGGATTTGCCTATAGTCCCCATTGTAGCAGGTAGGGTTGAAGGATTTTGGGTGCAGAATGGCTCGCAGGGATCTTCTTCTCCCTCATGACCACCGTAAAACGAACTTTGCCCCAAGGCAATGAATAGTCGACATCACCAATAAGAGAAACTGCCACTAACATATTCACGGTCACAATGACGAGGAAGGACAGACAACATTTTGTCGGATCCTTTCCGAAACGAACTATGCTTCGCTGGCAGGACAGTAACACCGAACATCGCCGAACCCCTGGCACACTCTTTTTCGGCAGCATCCATCGGAACTCCGATGCGGATGCTGCAGAAGGCAGCGAGGATGAGGACAGTGCTGCCATTAAGAACGATGATGCTGTCGCTGATGATTCTGATGATGGATCCTACCGGCTTCACAAATCCGCGGCGCCAGTCGAACGCACAGATTCAGGTCAAAAACTTAATACGAGTACCTATGATGCGACATAGGGTAAGGGTGTGAGTATTATATGGTGAGGGTGTCAGGGCTTGGTATGTTTTTTCATCGTGGTTCGATTTCGACTCCTGGCCCACGCTACACTTTGGATCTTTGTGTCAGCTTGACACGCCTTTCGGGTAGCTTTTGGCCAACTTGACTCATGACTGAGCCCTAAGCCCCAATTTTTCATTTTCAGCCTAGAGCCCCAAACCTTAAAACCCTAAACCTTACAACTTAAACCCTAAACCCTAAATCCCTAAACCGTAACCCCTGTAAACCCTAAAACCCTAACCGAACCCTAAACCTTACACCTTAAACCCTAAACCCTAAACCTTGCACCTTAAACCCTAAGCCCTGAAGCCTAACTCGACTCCTCGAGGTTCCCCCAGCTCCGGGAAACCTCTGCAACTGGGCGGAGACCCCCAAAAAACCGCGAAACAGAAACGAGAGCAGCCTGATGTACTGGTTTAGGGTTTAGGGCTTTAGGGTTTAGGGGCTAGGGTGTAGGGGCTGGTTTAGGGTTTAGGGTTTAGGGCCGAAAGTTTAGGGTTCAGGGTGTAGCGTTTAGGGTGTATAAGGGTCTGAATGGTCAGACTACGGCTCGGGCCCCGAAGTGCGGTAAGAAGGGGATACACCACGAATTCTTGAGACCTCGATCTTGAAGCCAACAGGGAGCGTGTCTTGAATCTACGGGGCAATGTCTGATCCCTATAAGATTTGATAAACCCTAAACCCTAAACCCTAAACCCTAAACCCGGCACCCTAAACCTTAAACCCTAAACCCTAAACCCTAAACCTTAAACCCTAAACCCTAAACCCTAAACCTGAGCTTGGTGCTTGAGGGCCTTCTGCTGCGGGTTTTTATGGACGGACTTTGGGTTCAGGGTCAAGGGTTTAGGGTTTAGGGTTTAGGGTTTAGGGTTTAGGGTTTAGGGTTTAGGGTTTAGGGTTTAGGGTTTAGGGTTTAGGGTTGACGGAAAGGGCACCCATAAACAGGCGTGTCAGCTGCAGATTGCTGCCGGCTACCAGTCCTGACTCAATGTCATTGCCCCTGCAATGCGGCAGGTGTACCCACTGAAACAAACTCTCTGAAACTGTACAAAGCCACAATTACAGGACAAGGATCACAGCCTGGCTCAATGGACCCGGTTGCATGAGAAAGGACGGATAAAGAAAGTCTAATCTGGATGGAAGGAACAGGCTCTGACTCTATGTCCGAATATTTAAAAGCATCTGTACACAACTACGCGGCAGCACGCCAATTTTTGAGGCGGTCGCCGTAGCCGTAGCCCAAATCCTGCATAATTTCGATTTCCACACGCACTTCCTTTTGAGGGGCAGATTCCCCGCCTTCCTGTGAAGAGGCAGCGTATGGAAGTGCCTGCCCTCAACCCTAGGCTCGAACCCTAAGGGTCCATCTACCCATATAGTATAGACATTGGCTCTAAACTACCTATATAGGGACTACATCAAGGCCAAAGTATATACTATTTGGGCACTTGGACCCTTAGGGGGAATCTCTTCTTCCAGAAACAGTGTAGACAAGCTAAAGGCAGAAGACAGGATCAACTGTCAACGAAACCCCAAATTCCCAAAACCCTAAACCCTAAACCCTAAATTCCCTAAACCCTACACGTGGTATGATCATCTCATGCCCCAAGGTTGCGAGAGGCAACTCTTCTGCCACAGTTTCTTGGGCTTGGGCCTTGGCGTCTTGGCCTGGGAAGTGACTGAAACAGGATCCGCACGCCGCTCTGCCTCGGCGGTGAGGGTTTAGGGCTTAGGGTTTAGGGTTTACGGTATAGGGTTTAGGTTCAACTGGCGTTGGCGGAGTCCAGCGTGCGCGTGAAACCGCCACATAGCATGTTGCCGGGGCATGCGGGATAATTAAAGAACTACGCGTTCCAAAGAAAAGAATCATGCATCTTCCAGGTACTCATCCATCACCGCACGCAGAAATTTCGCAGAACGACATCTTGCTGCCTTAGCCGAAGAAACGACACGAAGGAGACCTTGTTGCGCCACTTGAAGCCCATGGGGCATTTGCAGACCGAAAGTTTTTGCCGCCAAATCCGCCTTCTGGTTGTGAAAGATACACCACAGATCATAACATCCAACCGCATCGTGAAGCTCCCTGTGTGATTTGACCCAAAACACCTGGATGTCATCGTGTGCACTCCCCCGTATGAGGCGCCTAGTAGTAGACAGCAAGTCTCTGTCCGGGTGTTGCAAAAGGGCAGCATCAGATAACTGGCCAGCAATGATCTGATTTACCCTTCTAACCGTTGCCTCGTTATCAGAAAAAATGGTAGCCTTCCTGTTGAGCAGGATCGCCATGTTAACAGCATGGAGCTCAGCACGGAAGACTGTTTGCCGCCTTCCCGGGAGTAAGCCACCTGCACGTATGTGGTTGACGTTTGAAGCTTCCTGTGCCTCTGTGACTGCCCATGAGCAAACCAGCCCAAGCCTATCCCCCGGGTCGAAGGCTGAACCATCCGTGAAATAGTACTTTCTGCTACCATCATCATCCACGGCATCCACATACATCTGGTCAAGTTTGTCCAACTGTTTAGGGTTTAGGGTTTAGGGCTCAGGGTTTCTGCCGAAGCTGGGATCTGGAGCTTGCCAGGACCCTCCAAGTACCCTCAAATAGGGGTATATGGTCCCAAATTAAGGGCATTCAGGGAGAGGGTAGATGGAGGGTCTAGGTGCCAAAAGTCTCCATTGTGGTTCCGCTTTTGGTTAACAGATTCCCTAAGGGTCCATATATACTACCATTATGGAATTAGGTCCCCAAAACCCTAATATGAATGGTCTTTTGGGACCCAATTCCATAATGGTAGTATATATGGACCCTCTGGGATTGTAAACCTAGGATCCGAACTATATACATAATCGGTTAGCCAGAAAAAAAGGGGCTGCAATGCAGACTATAGGTACCCTAAGACCGCTTATGGAACCCTTTAAAAGGAACTACAATGGAGACTGTTGGCAAGGCAGCCATTAAAAAGGGATTAGAATGGAGATTGTAGGTATGGTTCAGAATCCAGAACTACTGTTGATGATCTAAATCCTGCATTACCCTAAGGGCCCTAAACTATGGGAATTATGGTATATTCCTTATGGGTGATGCAGGATTTATATCCTCAACCATAGTGGGTTGGTTTCGGGCCCAACGAGAATAAGTTGGTCTCGGAGACCCAGAGGCCTACTTGGAAGTGAGAAAGAGCCTTCTTAATGCTGAGAATTGGGTTCTTCGGGGGTATACCTAAACCCTAAACCCTAAACCCTAAACCCTAAACCCTAAACCCTAAACCCTAAACCCTAAACATACCAGAACCTAGTCGTAAGAGGGAGCCCTAAGGTGTAATCTTGGTAATGGTTCAGGCCTCTGTGTTACAAAACCTGGGTCAGGCTTCAAGTTTCGAGTTTAGCTCGGTCACCGCCTAGTTTTGTTCTATGTCAACCAAGATGTGAAATTTCATAAAGGGGCCAGCCTAAACCCTCAACCCTGAACCCTGGCCCCTACCAAAAAGCAGGTTATGGCAGGTCACCGTGAATGATTTGGATCTTAAGTTTTGAGTTGTCGGCCTGAGGGGGTCTCCGAGTGCTTGGATTGCAGATTTCAGTATGTTGGGGCCACAGGCATTAGAGTAGGGCTTTGGGTATGTAGTTTAGTATAGTTACCATAAGGAACCCTACACAATTCATCCGAACAGCATAGATAAGTAGGGTTTAGGGCTTAGGGATTTAGGGTTTAGGGCTTAGGGTTTGAGATGTTACCACTCTGGCTAGTCTAGCTGGGTTTGTTGTTGCTACTCTTCAAAGTATGCTTATTGCCTTACTCGGGTCGTCACTGTGAGGGGTTCGAGGTCAATGTCGCTCCTCCCCATACGACGCGATCCCTTTTGTTGGCTGCATCCTCAGCATGGTAACTCCCTCCGAACATCTACCCGAAACCCTCAACCCCGATCCCGCTGAAAACCCCTACGTAGGCCCTAGATTCCAAATCCCTGATTGAAACCGTCATTTTTGTAACAAGGCACCAAAACAAGATCCGAGTTTCGAGATTCGTTCATACCCATAGGCCCCATAGTAGTTCCTTTTGGGGGTTCATATTTAGAATCCTACAAGGTAATCCCAAAAAGGACCCTAAACCCTAAACCCTAAACCCTAAACCGTTTGGGTAAAGGCAACCAAGGAGCTGATAAGATTGTTGTAGTGCGCATTGCAAGGCAGTGCATCCGTGCTTGTCCGCCACCTTCAGGACAAAATGTGCCGTAGGGTTTAGGGTTTAGGGTTTAGGGTTTAGGGTTTAGGGTTTAGGGTTTTGAGGCGCAAAACCAAAAAATAGCGGTTCGTAGCACAAGGGTGTTGGTTGGGCCTTTTTGTTTAAGTTTGTAAGGCTTTGAAGACCCTAAGCTCTGCAACCCTACAAGTCATATATACCCTACATCCTCTGCCTATACCCGAGAGCGGCTTTGTATTATTGAAGGGTCATTTAGCCCGTGACGGCACCTCCATGCGAGCTCCCGCATCCAGGAGACAGCGAAGCAGAAGCATCGTGCCGTCCTTTCGGTGGCGGATCCATCTTTGCAGCGTGGAGGTGCGAGGTTCAGGGATTTGGATTTGGGGCACAAGGATTAAATTTGTTGTTGTCACCTCTTTTCCACCTGCCTGGTTAAGTTAGGTCGAATGCCATGTCTGGCGGAGGCAGTTGCTTACTGCATAGGGTCTAGGGTTCTGCAGCATGACCGTAAGGTCAGGGTCGTCTACTTTGTCGGGCTCATGGAGCCTTACGGGCAGCGGAACTAAGTCCCTTTGCCCAAATCTTGTAGCTATAAGCCCCTAAAACCCAAAAGCTCAAGTCAATTCTAAGCCCTAAACCCTAAACCCTGAGCTGCGAAGCCATTGCCCAGAAAGATCCTGGCCCCGGCTCCTTCGACTTCAATGCATAGTGCAAGGCTGTACCATGAACGTCATCAACTGCATCTTTGTCAGCTCGCGCCTGTCGGGATTTGCCTACGCCACCAAATCTTAAGCCCAAATCGGATAGACACTACACCCTAAACCCTATACCCTATAGAAACTAAGCCCTAAACCCTTGACCAAGCCGCTTGGTGTTTCATAAGTTGTGTGGTTTGGGGGATCGAAGCTCGATTCTTCCGGGGTTTAGGGTTTGGGGCTTCGGGTTTAGGGTTTAGGGCTCAGGGTTTAGGGGTTTAGGGGTTGGGGGTTAGTGTTTAGGGGTTTGGAGTTTAGAGTTTAGGACATGTTTAGGACTTTCCCAGGTTTCTCTGGTATTGCGGTGGTACCGCAGCTTTATGAAATGCGTGGGTTCATGTGCGAGTTTCCGAGAATAAGGGGTACCGTATTTTGGGGTCCTTATAATCCGGATCCTACTATTTAGGGTACTCTATTTTCGGAAGTTTTCATGTGGAGTCAAGGCTACATGTGATTCCGGAGCAGTCTAGACTGGAGTGCCCTCGAAATTACAAAAACAAGTAACACAGAAGCCCTAAACCCTAAACCCCAAACCCTAAGCCATAAACCCTAAGCATGAATACCCAGCGGCCGTGCTTCGATGTAGTACAGGCTATATCATCAGCGAACTTTTCGGTATTAGCCAAGACCCATGGTGCAACTCCCATATGAGCGTGGGCAGACAGAACTGAAGCCAGTTTGGGCTTCAAACTGCAACTCGAAGTCTGCTTGGGGTTTAGGGTTTAGGGTTTAGGGTTTAGGGCGCGGCTTCTTAACTTTAAGGTGCTGTTGTTCTCGTGTCTCACATGGGGGTTTCTGGGGCGTTATACAGGGCTTGGCAGGCCTTAGCTTCTTTTGAAGTTTCTAACATTAGGGCTACCGTATTTAGGAATCCGTAGCTATTAAGGATCCTATCACCTAGTGTGATTCCTGGAGGTTACGCACTTTTCAACACTCCCAAACTGCGGCTCGAGGTTGAAATCAAGCCGGTTGCTGCGTCCCCGCCTGAAGCAGCAACCGCAGGAGGTCCACTGCAACCGTGTAGGGTACCTTGCGTAAGAGGGACTTAATTTGCAGGGTTATGATCAGCGTACTTACATTTACGATTACATAAAGCAATATAAACCTTAACTTAGGGTGCTTATAACAGCTTGGAATCATGTGTCCCGTGATCCTTCGAGTGGGATGGGCCAACGGTGAATCAGTATTGAAGGCTTGGTGCAAGCTTCAACCATATCTCATGAAAAGCATGCTGCTTCCGACGATACCGGAAAGTATTTCTGTTTCCTTGCTTACACATGCCATACTGTGAGAAATGTTGCAGCTCGTATGCTGCCGCATCTGTAGCCGTCAGTCGAAAGGTCCAAGAATGTCGTAGATAATCAGACTTGGGCTATGCCACGCCATGGTCTGTTGTACCAAGCTGTAGTCTGTCCCAAAGGCTCGAGCTAATTACCTAAATATAACATATGGTTACTAACCTACTAGTTAGGTAACTGGAGCCCTGGGTGTCACATCATGCTTATTCGCTTTGTTTAGGGTTTAGGGTTTAGGGCCTTCACACAGTGCTTTGTGTTACTTTATCCTGATGCTGCTCGCCATGTGAATCAGCGGTGATCGCCTAAGCAGCCGGGTTCCAACAGCGCGTCCACAAAAAAGACGGCTACCGCAAAGAAAACAAGCACTCGCGCTGACGAGACAGCACTGTAGCAGCTGGAAGAAAAAACTAGCACAACACCCTAAACCCTAAACCCTAAACCCGAATGCTCTTTGAAGCCTGGGTGCAGAATCGAACCTCGAACAGGCTGCATGCAGAGCTGTCCTGCTGTGAAACCCGAAGCACCCTAAACCGCAAACCCCACACTTATCCGGGTTTAGGGTTTAGGGTTTAGGGTTTAGATGCACACGAGCCCCGTAAACCTTAAACCCGCAACCCTGTCCCTACAGATGCCAGACCAACCCTCTTTGCCGGAGCCCTCCATAAGCCCCTGATCCCAAACCCTCCCCTGAACCCGAAACCCGAAACAGGGTTTAGGGTTTAGGGAGAAGCCGAAAAGCCCTAAGATGTCCTGCTGCGAGAATCTTCGAGACCCACGTCAGCCCGGGCCTGCAGCAAACCTCGGTGAACATGCAGGGTTTCAGTCGGCGCAAGGGTGAAGGGCAAAGGTTTTTTTGGTTGTTTATGGCTTTCAAGCAGCCTGCGGGTATGAGCAATATGTTTCGTTTTGTAGCTCATCTCTGTACGAAATAGGGGTTTATATGTTGGCTTCGGTGGGTGCAGAAAGGACCTCTAGAAAGAATCGCGGGTGCATGTTTGGATTTTTAGTGTTTCCAAAGCCTCTATATGCAGCAACACTGCAGTCCTTCTTCCAGTCACCAAGAGATCGGACTGCCACACTCAAACCCGCTTTGTCTGAACCCCAAAGTAAACGCACGGTCCGTTACCCCTCAAAGAGAAACCTAAGCTCTAAACCATACTGCCTAAGCCTTAAACCCGGAGCCTTCCCCAAAGCCAAAATAACCTAAAGCGCCTTAGGACAAAACGAGACCCTGATTTGGAGAACTATCTGCATCATAACCCTGAGTTCGGGCATTCACAAACATACCAAATTACGGCCTCGATAAGCAGAACAGGGTTTGGGGAAAACACGTATAGTATTATTACGGGGCTATAAGGGGATCAACCCTAAACCCTGAACTCTATACTATTTCTCCCGAGCCCTATATATCAATTAGTCTAATTACTTGGTGTGGCCGGCCCCCTACGGCAGCTTCGATATATATGCAAACCTGAACCCCATAATCTTTAAAACCCCCAACCCTAAACCCTGAACCCCAACCTGAACCCCCGTAATCTCTAAAACCCCAACAAAACACAGACCCAAAAGGCTGAACAACCGCCCCAAAAGTTTAGGGGTTTACGGGTGTAGGGGCTTAGAGGTTCAGGGGTTTAGAGTTTAGGGTGTAGAGTTTAGGGGCTTAGGGTTCCCTAAAGCCTTTGAACTCCTAAACCCTAAACCCTATAAACTCCTGCCTAGTGGCAGCGGGCCGAGTCTAAGCAACCATGCTTTGAGCTGCAGTGAAGCGCAGTGAGTTGCTCTTTGTCAGCTGCATTGACATTCGCCTGTACTCTTCAGGCTTGAAGGTTGTTTACCAAGTTCTGGTTCCCTGCTGGGGCTGTATTAAACATGAAAATGTTAATCCTTACAAGGCTTTATTGCGAAAAATGTAAGATTGTACCCAACAAAGACTCAGAGTTCAGGGTCTAGGATCTGGTGCTCAGGAAAGGTGTTACGCGGGGCTTCGGGTGAGCAGGTAATGACATAAACCCCACAGTATATCTCAAGTACGCTAAACTATATGTGGATACAGGGACACGTCTTCGCATCGACCTCAAAACGTACAGGCATCGCTACTGTCGTCCTAAACCCTAAACCCTAAACCCGAACCCCTAAACCCTAAGACACAGGGACCTTCGCCATCACCAGCTGCTTCACCAGTCGGGGCTTTCCTCAGGTCGCATTGGGGAATGTACCCCCCAAGTCCGAAATCTTAAATAACTACCCATAGGGCCCATAGTAGTTCCTTATTGGGATTCCCTAATAGGATCCTAAATATAAGCCACAAAAAGGAACCACTATGGGGCATATGGGTAGGTACTGGAAGTTAGGCTGGTTATTGCAGGTTTGTATGTTGAGAGGTGGGTCATATGGTTGCTGAGGATGGAGACCTGTGTGGGCGTAAGTTAACATAGCTCAGGTATACAGAACACAACATGCCTAATGCGGCCTAAATGAAACTTTAGCACCCAGAATCCGTAAAGCCTTTTCCAACAGAAACCCGACAAACAAGACAGACTTCAAAACAACTACAAGACCCTGATAAAGAACTTATAGCGCTTCTATTCGCCATTCCAAAACACTCTTGAGACCGTACCCCTCTAAACCGCTTAACACCGTATAAAACCGTAAAGCACCCAGTTTAACCCTTGACAACCCTTATGCACCCTCGAAAGCCCTGCCTGTAAGGCACCCTAAACCCTAAACCCTATTTAACCCCTCTGCAACCCTTTAAAAAACCAAGCTTCCAGGGCCCGGGATGCGAGAAGCCGCGTGCAGCGCCGTACGACCCCTCCTTGGGAGGGCTTCGACGCCGTGGGTTCAGGGTTTAGGGCTCATGGGCTTAGATCTTTGGGTTTAGTCTAGGGTTTAGGGTGTAAAGTTTAGGGCCTGTACCTGCTACTGTACCGTAAAAACCAAAATACAAACAGCACATACCGGTGGTACCTACTTTGTGCGTTTGAAGTCTCTCGGATGAAGTTGTTGTAATACTGTAAGGGTTGCTCGAAGGGCCCTACAAGGGTACTGTAGGGATAACGTAGAAGCCTCAATAATTAGAATAGAATTTGTTGGGGTATGTTATCATCATAAGAAGGAGCCGCCAGAATAGTACAGGTAATTATTTAATTACCTATACTTTTTTGGTGGCTCCTTAATATTGGCATATTAAGGCCTCTATATTATCGGGGTTTCGGGTCCGGCGCTTAGGGTTTCGGGTCTTGAGATGGGGGGTTGAGGGTTAAAAAGGTTTAGGGCCAGGGCACAGACTTTCTGTTTAGGGTTTAGGGTTTAAGGCTTGGGGTTTAGGGTTTAGGGTTTGGGGTTTGGGGTTTAGGGTTTAGGGTTTGGAGTTTAGTGGTTTAGGGTTTGTTTGTGGTGTTTAGGGGTTTTTAAGATAGACCACTAAAGAACAAGGTTTGAAGCTTGCGGGAGGGGCATATCATCACAGAAACTTAGGGGCTGTGAGGGCATGCAATTGCGAGTCCTTCGGACCTCTGCATTAGCGTGTGTTAAGAATGGTTATACACGGCTTTTGAGCAGAGTCTGAAAATAGCGAGAACAGGCTTCCACAAGACTTGGATTGTAGCGTTTCAGGAGTTTTGCGGGGTCTACGGTTTGCGGGAATTGGTTTGGGGCGTCAGGGTTCTGGGGCGTAGGGTCGCGGAGCTTAACTCTTCATTGGCTGTGGCTCCCCGGGTTTAGGGTTTAAGGTTTAGGAGGAATGAAGGATCAAAAGATACTTGGCGACGAAGGGTCTTGTCCACGATATCCACGTCAGCGCGGAACTCTAGCAGCAAAGTCACAGTGGTCTCGTAGCGTTCCCATTTCTTGTCATTGTAGTTCCCAAGTGCTTGGTGCAGAGCTGTGCCTTCCTGGATCACGGAGCACGCAGAAGGAATAGCACGAACGCTTTACTCGACTCTGTGGTACTTTCTCCGGAAATCGAACCTCAAAGCAAGCAATTCCGATTTCGGGGTTGGCCCTAGACCAGAAGTATGGACGCTGTCGAAAGGACGAAACCAAGTCACTGACTTCCGTTGACTAGAGAAGAGCTCTACAGAATATTCTTACTCAGTGGTGAGGCTCTTCTACTGATTCTATGGTCTCTCCCAACGGCCAAAGACCAAAGATAAAGCAGTGGACCTTTCAGCATCGTGAGAGTCAGGCATGCTTTGTGTTAGGAGGGTCTGAAGAACTCTGCCCGTGCAAAGCATTAAGAACTGGCGCAAGGTGCTTGTGGACACCAGAAGGTTCACATAAGGTTTATCGAACACTAAGCTGACTATATAGTCATCCTAGACCCTAACCCAAACCCAAAGCCCTCAGCCCAACTGGACTCCGAGGGCCCTTAGGGCAGTAAGGATTCCGTCATTTGTTGTCTGCATCAGAGGTCCCTCGTGTCGAAACTAATTCATCGATTTAGGCTTTAAGGTCTAGGGGTTTAGGCTTTTGGGGTTCATCACTTTTAATGAGTACGTCGCCAACTGAACTCTTTCACCGGTTGGCCGTAGGTTCTCCTTTCACTTCAAACATGTCGATATAGCAACGACGCAAAAGACTTTGGCCTCTGTGGTGACATCAGGGTTCGCATTGGCCGCGAGGAGCAGTTTTAAAATGTCAGAGTTCCCAGCGTGGGCTGCAAATGCAACAGCTGTGTATCCTTCATCTCGGATGTCCTGAGCATGCTTTGCCCATAGGCCCCATAGTACTTCCTTTTGGGGATTCTCTAATAGGATCCTAAATATAAGCCACAAAAAGGAACTACTATGGGGCCTATGGGTAGTTGGGG